GATTCACCAGCCCATAGGATAGATGTATGAAAGAACGTTTTCTGCAGCCTCTCAAATCGACATTTGTGCAAGGAAAGGATGACGCTTGACATCCCTGGACAAGATAAGAGCGATGCGGCTTAACATTATAAGTCCGGAGTACATCTCTAATTTTTTTTTTTAAACCTAAAACCCTTTCAACATTTTAAAGAGAGGGATTCAGATTTTGAGAATACAGTAAACGATGCTGCCGGTTTCTTTTTGCCATAACCTTCTTAACCATAGAATTTCTTACTTTTGTCATCATCAAGAGGTTCACAGTATCAACTTTTGCTGTGGACTTGTTGGTAATAATTCAATTGGGCTTTATTTCTAAGAAAATAATGTAAAAGGTGCTCAGTTCCTCAATTTTTTGATGGAAGTTTTACCAACACTTTTATTGTTGTCCAACAACAACAAAGTATATTCTTCATCATCATGGATATCTCACACACAATTCTTTGCAGGTGAGACATTGTTTGAATCATCACTTCCTTGGATAAGTGGATAGGACCTCATGGCCCGATGCGCTGGCCTCCTTGGTCACCCTATTTAACTCCACTTGACTATTTTCTGTGGGGCCATTTATAAAACAGCGTCTCCGGCAATCATAACCCAGGAACCTCAGTTGAAGAATTGCGGCAAAGGATAGAAAATGCTTGTCAGTCCATCTCCCCTGACTCTATCGCTCTGAGCACTGGTGAAGAGTAGTTAAAAAGAGCAAATCTTTGCATCTTTACGCAAGGCAGGCAATTCGAATATGAAATGTGATGAATAAATAGCAAAGCAAATGACTCTTTCTTTTTTTAAACTTTTGGCCATAACTTGTCATTTTTTGCCCAATTAAAAATCCGATTGTATCATTGTTTTCAGCATAAACAATCCTTTAAAATGGTGGGTCAGGATGTATAGAATCATATTTGAAATTTCGAAGTCGAACTGGGCCTGAGGTACCCTGTATAATTGTTAAATTAAAATTTTTTCTTTATAAATACATGAATAAACTTCAAAAGAAAAGACGAAAATTCTGATTTTTTGACATTTTTTTGTAATTGTTCTGGTAATAGAAAGAGTAATGCTGTTTGATACCGTATGTGAGCAGTCTCTATATAAACACAAGTGAGATCATATCTTTGTATACGAAATAAATCAAAATAAATCAAACATGAAAGAAAACATGCAGCGAATAATATATAACAAATACACATATGTAGCCTTCTATCATTATGTCAATGTTGTCGATAAAACAGATTAGCTTTAATTGGAGAAATTTAGAATTTAAAAAAAACTGTCGTGAGCCCTTGCGTGCACGAAATTGTCTTATGTTACACAACATAATCATCTTTCAGCAATCAGTGTTTTTATTTAACTTTCCCACTTTTTTTATTAGTTGTTTTTTTACGCATCTAACCTGGTGAAACTGGTGAAATCTATAATAGGCACTGTCTTTTCTTTAGTGCTAGATCATTTATTTGGACTGTAAATACGCAAAATGCTTATTTATAATTCCCGTTATTTATAAACTGATGTAACGCTTTGTTGTGTTTCTCTTTTATTTTTTTGAACGTTCGAGTGGATTTTGTTGAATAATATGTTCATCGATCCTGATGTGCTTATTGTCAATGTATTTCACCAGACGACTTTCTGCAATTTGTCGTTTTTCGTAAATTTGCCTTCAATCCTTCTGAAAAAATCAGATATGATTACGGTAATGAAAATTAGTGGCTTGTACTAATTAGAATAGAATTAATAAAACATGAATAAATCATCACGTAACAACTCATGTCATCCTAAGGTTATTTTTCGACTTTCTTTAATCTTTAGTTTTCTTCTTAAATTTCTTATTAAAAAATATAAAATTTTAGCATACATTTGAAGTTGATTATTTTTTCACTAATTCTTTGTAGTAGTAATAATAGTAGTAGTAGCATAGTAAATAATTACAAGTATTGCATTTTTGCTAATATAAACAAAAGAATATTCATAGTTTGGGCTCAAACTTTAGATCAAGGAAAATAATAAAAGAAGAACAAAGGCAAAGTATGATCTTAATGTAAGAAAGATCAGATTAAAGAGTTCGATAGATAATATCTAACCTTAACCTAACTCAACTTAAAACCACAAATTATAACCTCATCTTACACCACCTAACCTAATCTAACCCATGCGCACGCCCCCCAGTAATGTAAAACCAACAAAAATGGTCAAGCAAAAATTATTTGTTTATCCAACCCAAAAACAATCTATGTTAAAAAGAAACAAAAGTTTAGAAATGTTAGAAAGCTATCCGGCCCAGAGACCAAAAACTTGTATTCACGGCAGGTGACAGAGCGGCAATTTAATTAGAACCGAAATATAAAAGTAGGCCTTCCCTATCTTTTCTATGCGCTGTTTATTATACCACTGGACTTTTTCAAGGCTGAAATCTTGATATTGTCCTAGAAACACTTCTGAACTGATACTGGGTTTTAGCCATTGGCAATATCAGGAATGTGACAAGGGTATGGTAATTACAATCTGCAGAAGGGTGATCTAAGGATTAAGCTGGCAGGACTTGTTACGTTTGTCAATCGTTCCATTTGTTCTAAAAAGTTTTTTTCAGCCTGGTCCGTGTAAATATGAGGTGAAAAATTAATCAAATATCGATAACTCTGGAAAATGGGAAAAAGAGGCAAATTTTCTAATTTCACGACTTCTTACATTTGTCAATCGTTCTATTTGTTATAAACTGTTCCTTCGGCTTAATCCAAGTTAATAGAAGGTGAAAAATGAATCAATATTCTGAACTCTGGAAAATGGCAAAATACATTTTTTTACATATTGTGACCAATTTTTAACAAGATTAGATCAAGCTCAACTAGTCGAAAGGCTTCATTCGCTAACTCGTGTCACCAAAAAAATTCTGGCTTGATGGGCCTAGAGTGGAGTAGCATGCTACTCGCTCGGAGCAACCTAGCAAGTGACAGTGTTCAATCGATCGAGCCGCGAGCCACCGAAAACCGCTCACCACAAAGTCCTTTGGACTGACGCCAATAATTTTCCAAGCTCAACTCCATACATCACTGTGTATAAGAGTTAATAAAGAAAATTATGAAATGTGCACAAATATACATACCCTTAGATAGCCAAGCAGCCATAAAGGCACTAAATGCCAATGCTTACAACCCCAAACTTATCTGTGAGTGCCTAAATTGCTTAATGGTCGGGAAAATAGATCAATATTACCTTAAAGTGGTTTCCTGATCATGAAGGCATAGAAGAAAATAAACAGGCTGAACAACTAGCCAATAAAAGGGGAAACCCTCTCACCTGTGGCCAGAATCACAACTAAGTGGACCGGAATGTGTGCTTAAGTGTGAACTGGAAAGAGGATTGCGGATGAAAAACTCCAACACTGGTCAAACGCACCAGCTTATGAGACAAGCTAAGAGATTCATAAATCTCTAAAAGATGAAGGAACTTCTCTCTCTCAGCACGCAGGGTTTGAAAAAAATCGAAGGCCTCTATACATGAAACTGCCTTCTTAACTATCATCTAAAGAATATTGGCATAGCAGAGACAGAAACATGCCAACTCTGTCAGGAGGAACCAGAGATACAGGCAGGTCCTTTGTGAATGTGAAGCATTGGCCCAGTTACGGTACATCCACTTCAGTAGGACATTTCTCACACCAAAGGAGGTCCATGAAGAGGGGCCAAGGAAAATGCTTAGTCTTTAAGAAAAAGCGCACTTTCGAAAGTATGGCTATAATTTATAGAAGTTCCACAATAGATCTACATAGGTCGCTGTGAGAAAAGGATCAGCATAATTCTATATCAACCCTCCTGTATAGGCGGAGGGGTTCTTCTTAAGTGAAGTAACAAATCTTTCCCATTGCAATTGCCCAGGACACTTACCAATTTTTTGGGGGGAATAAGTAGTTTAAAAAAATATATTAATCTGGCCCAAACACCCTAATTCTTTAAAAAAGTAAATAAATAGAAAAACAAGAAACTATTCTCTACATGCTAGTCACATACATGGACTAAAGTGTCTGTGTGTCAACCTCACATGGTTTCTTCATAGCATATTCTATCGGGTGAGGATATCCTCACTTTTACAAGTCAGATTCTCCAAAAGCCACCTATCAACAGTATCCTTGATACAAAGTCCATAAATAATATTGTCGATACTGGAGCATTAGTATTTTTATAGAGAACTAAGCAGTGAAATTCCATATTATCCAATATTATCTAGTAGCTCATCATTGTATAACAAAATAATGTTTTGTGAACTGTACTGATTGAGGAAAAACTTTTTCCAATCATAGGTAGATTTAGATAAAGCTTATTATGATTATATACATTTGACTAGTATTTATGAAATGTTATCTATTTGTAACAGGGTTTTTACTCAAAAATAATAAATGGATATTTTTTTCTGACTTGGTAATCAGATTATCTAGTTTATTTTACTTAAAGGAATCCTTATCATTCTTACTTATTACTTCTGAATTCTGGTGGACTATTAACTTATTACTATGCCCCTTATGAAATTTCACATGATAGGTCTATATTTTATTTTACTCACGTTTTAATTATTTTTATCAGTTTATTCTTAATTATATAATTAATATTCTAAGAATATATTTTAGAATAATTAATTGGTCAAGCGGACCACGAAATTAGAGAATTTAATATTTTAGAATTATATGAATATATTATTTTTGTCAATTATGGGCACACATTGAAGTGTATATTGCTTTAAAAAAAAGGACAAAATAAAAAGCAAAAATAGGCGGGGCCAGTTATTAAAATCTAGATTTTATTGGAATCACACGAGCAAAAGTATTTGGTGTGAATGTCCAAAAAATAATATCTGCATATATAAATTTTATTTTTTAGATCAACTTCTGTTTAATTCTGTTTTTTAACTTAGCCAAAAGTTTAATCGGTTTAGCGCCTTGTCGTTTCAAAATCAAGTAACCATTCTAGCCGTTAAGCTATAAGCCGACTGCGATTCGTCAATCGTCAGTGTCCGCTCACTAGACGGTAGACCGTAGTATCCATTTACTCAATTCAACAATCCTTTTAAATTCGTTTACCGAGCTTCCCGTACCGTTTGGGACTTCTGTTGATGAGCTTTCCCTGCGAAAGCCCGCCCGGGGAACCGAATGAATACGTCTTTCCCTTGTTTATAATTGACTACACAACAGTTTACCGCGTCGTGCTTGTTTGTGAACGTCTAACGACAAAACTATGGATGCCTTTGAATTCCACGCTCCCCAATTTGTGGAGAGATTGGATACAAAAGTTTCGATCATGGAAAACGACGGAGCGGACGAGTACTTTGGTAAATATTGTTTTAACCATTGGAGAATCAAAACAGGCGACACATTTTAAAATTAAAAACCATTATTGTACCTATGTCAGAATTAAGAAGTTGGTTTGAGACGAAATAGTACGGTCGGGTCTGATCCGACCCTCTTTTCTATGAGGCTTTTAATAGACATAAGTTAACCATTTTTATTATATAATAACATTTATTGATAGTATCTTACATAAAAAAAACTTCTTGTAGTACAATATTTATTAGTTGCGTTCAAATCCAAATCAAAGTACCTTCAGAAAATGAAATTCTAGTCTTTTTGACAAAACACGAAATATTGTAGCGAGAAAATGAAATTTTTGAATAATTAAACGAACAATCACATTTCCGTTTCTTCACTACAATCAACAGTCACACATCTAATGCATAATACTGTTTAATGATCACCGCATATGCAGGAATTGCATTTGGCACAAAATTCATTTCCCTTTCATCTTTTGAGGAGATAAGGGAATAAGTAAATTTGCTTTGGTTTGGTTTTTTTTGTAAATTCTGATGGGCCATGACTATCCTGCAGCTCCTTTTCTTTTCCTAAGATCCAATTATCAACCAAGAGCCCTCGCAGCACATGGGTTGTGTGTTCTTTTTCCATTAATGGTTTGGCCAAAGCCAAAGTGAGTTTTTTTTTTTTAGAAAAACCACCAGCAAACTTTACTAAATTTAAGCCCTCGGGGTTATTTAATAAAAAGATTAGGCGCTCGCCTGTCAACGTGGGCAAACCTGTATGCAGTAATTGGAATTCCGCTAAAATTGGGCATTCTGCTAAAAAGGGAAAACACCCTTCTCGAGCCTGCCTGTTGCAGAGGGAACACTTATTGGAATTATTGACTCTTGTTGGATTGTAATTAAGATAAAAGTAACTCGCACCTTACTTTGAAAAACCAGCGAGCTAGCGGAAAGGATGGAATTTTAGAACTTTGCAATATTCAAGATCCATCATCAAAAACCTAGAGGAATTTTTAGCATGAAGGAGATATTTCACTGTAAACTCGCTCGCAACATGTGGGTTGTGGACTCTTTTTCCATTAATGGTTTGGCCAAAGCCAAAGTGAGTTTTTTCTTTTTAGTGTGTCAAAAGTGCGTATGGAGTAGAAATTTATGAAAATGTTCACAGCACCGATATCTAGGATTCCGAAGAAGTATCTCAATAGCCACCTTCTGATTTTCCTTTTCGTTGTCTTGAATTTGCAAAACTTGTCCAACACGTCCATTCCACCTTTTGTTACCTTAAAGAATTCAATAATTTCTGGCTTTCTTAACTTATCTATTCATTGTGCATTTATGACCTTAAAAGTACCTTTTTATAGTTTTTAGGGTTGATCGAAATCAACATTTTAGTGTTTTGATAGATAAACTTTACAGTTCCAGTTAGGGCAGCTAACAGCATTGAAAATGTATAGAGGGGGGTCACTGTACTTGAATGAAAATAATGTTTTTCATTTCTACCCCTCTTTTATTACTATATTGAGAGAGCTCTCATTCTTTTTACGTCTAGGCAGGTGAGTAATCATGTTTGCACAAGACGTTCTTGAATATCTTGTTGTTCAATCAGTTAGATTGTTTCCTCGACCTTCCCTAACTCAAATTTTGTCTGTTCCTTTTCCTTTGTTCTTGGAGCTCTCATCCTCCTCATCCCAATCGAAAACATCTTCAATATCACTGATTATGAGGCTTCACTCTTCCATCCATGTCAGAGTCCTCTTGGTCCTGACGACGAAACCTTTTCATTTTGTCTCCTTTATGACAATATTCATAAGATTCCTAAAGTGACAATGCCCCACGATTTCCTCCATAATGAGGTTTATAGTATTGAGTTTGGAGTGTAATTAATCAAATAACTAAAAATAAAAATGATTTACAACCAGTTCAGACTGGATAAGTTTTAGCTTTTAGTAACCTGGAAATGAAAGTTTTAACAGGTTTGCCACATGGTCCAAACAATTGAGAGATGCCTTTGGGTTCTGAGGGTTGATGAACCAATAGTTCAGCCATTTCTTATCATTTTGGTCTGCTGATCCTGTCAGAAGTGTTTCAGTTTCTTCCCATCTTCGATGTAATTATGTTATTAGATTTTTTTTTTTAAATCTGTGAGGTGATGAACCTGCAGTTTGAACGTTTCTGCTCATTTTGGGTTTCCTATCCTTGCTGTTTTAGTCTGTTAGACGTATTTCAGAGAGGTCTGTGACACAAACACCTGCTGATAGGCAAATCATCTGTTTTTGGTACATATTTAGTTTAACATAAGTAACCATGGGAGGAAACTTGCAGCTAAACAAACAGACCATTGAAAATGACTAAAATCTGAACGGATTTCATACCAAAATAAACCAGTATAAGGCTTAACCCGCAAATTCACATGGCCAGTGATTTTTATCTAACTTTGATTTTAGAGTTGTGGGGGGCTAGGGTAAGTACAGGTGTCTTTGGAGGATGATATTTCAGTTTGGCCTTAAAGTAGTAGAGTTATAAGCGTTGACATTTATTGCCTTTATGGCTGCTTGGCTGTCTTAGGGTATGTAGTTTGTTCGTTACCAATCATTTTGGCATGTTATATCCTCACTTGATTGGTCTGTCAGATTTGGTATCTTCAGTGTATTTATTTTATAGAAACTGTCTTCCACTGTCTTGATGCAGTGATGATTGGCAAACCAAAGTAGTCCTTTACAGCCAAATTTCAGGTTCATAATTTTGCAAACAACATAGAGAAATCTCACATTTTATAGTATTTCAGTGTCGGGAACAATAATGAACAAAACAAACAAAATAATGCAATCAGAAAAGTATAAACATTTACATAATACCCTGAGAGCAATCTACATTTATACAGATAGTTCTGGCTTATTTTTATTGCTCAGCAGTCTTAATATTAGGAATGTTGTCAGGAACAGTCATAGCTAATGGAGGCAGTGGCCCACTTGTGGTGACAACTCCTAGAGAAGACTGAACTCCGAACACAGACTCCAGACTCAGGTGACTGATCTGACTCGCCAACTTCCGTGCTCACTCTAACTCATTCTGAGCTGGCACTGATGCCATCTCAACTCTCACTGATTCATGGTCTCTACAGCTGACTGCATCTCAACTCACAATGTCTAGTGAAGACCAGTCGAGAATCTTGGATGATGTCTGAGGCCATCGATCCCTGGTTCTTACTGAGGCGGCTGTGTATGTGACTCAGTTGGCAAGACCTCACCTCATGAAACCTTGGATGAAGTGGCTTTGTGGTGCAACAGTAATTTAACATTTTTTAGAAGATTGTCAACATGCCTCCCGTGTTAAAAGCAGTTTTCTTCAAAATAATATCTATAAATGAGGGTGTTTTCTTAGTAATATTGAACAAGTTAGAAAAATTAAGTATAATATAAATAAATACTCGGCATCAATATTGTACAGAATAAGGTTCTTTTCAAACAATCTAATTTCTAGCAATTAAAACAAGAGTATTTTCCTATTCTTTTTTTCTTCTTTTCAATGATTGATTGTGATGATTTTTGAATTTATACTACTACTTGTCTTAGTTTAAGATATTGAACAGTCAGTCATCATTAGATTTGTATGCAATTGCATATTCATTTTGCTAATTTAGGCCATGATGATCAGATATTTATCCAAATCATACCTCCTTGGTAAATAGTTCAAATTGCATTCTGCATATTTTTGCATATTTGAAGATTATCGCATAATAATAAAAATAAATTAGGGAACGAAGAATGTGAAAGGATTAAAAACAAGAGGCCACAGCCTAAAATTTGATTACTATTTTTGGAAAATTAATTAAATCTTTAATGGAAACAATAAATTGTTATACAGGGAATTGATATCCAGTTATTTAAGTTCCTCCAAGTAAGCTTCCGTCACCTCCATCGACATTGAAAAATCTTTTTGGCGTACAAATATAATAAATTCTGTATTTTCAAAGAAACTCATTTTGAAATGCATCTCATTGTCAATTTGAATTCAGAACATGTGCATAATTATATATTTTGAATAATATTTTTGATAAAAGGATTTTTGGGCAACTGAGATTTAGTTGGGTGATGTCTCTGACATTCATGTTGAGTATTTTATTATTTTTAGTGAATTATATGGTACACTTAATGGTTTTTTAGTGCACATATTATTGCATATTTGACTTATGATTTGTGCATATTTGAGAATTTTTATTGGATACAAATCTGTGCTCTAGACAGCATAAACCATCAGGCCATCAGTTGCACGTCGTGGAAACTTTTTTTTTATATTCAATAATCCTTGAACATATACTCATACATTTTCACTCAAAACTCGTACTGTCTGTTGAGTGTGTAAAGAGAATCTGGGGGTTGTTTGGAGTAACAGTTCTTACGTGCAGTTAGTCTCTGATGGAAATCTTTTACTAGCAAATGTTTTATTCTATTTAATGATTATTTTAAATATGTTATGTGATTTTTTTTACTATTACTCAGCTCTTCCAGTATAGTATTGTTAGACTTTTAGGGTCTTTTTTGTGAAGAAATTAAAATACAATTTTAACAATTACCATAATGATTGTAAATTTTTTTTACTATTACCATTATTTTAATAAAAGGAAAAATTTAAAAATAAAAGGCACTGTAGGGGAAACAGAATTTATTCACTCCAATTATTTCTTTTTTTTTTTAAATTATATTTACACTCTTCCTTCTTTTAAATTGAATCTTCAAACTTAAATCTTTACAAAAAATAAAATCAATTACTCTTGAAACAATATAAAAAAACTTAAAATATAATTAAGAAGTATTTAAACTGTTGTTAAAAATAAATGAATTCATAATATTTATGTATGCGCAATCCCCAAGGAATAAAATTAAGGAAATATGGAATAGGAAATAACTCACACGATGAATGCTGTTTTCCTGATGTTTTCTCATAAGATGATTCTTCACAAGCCAAGTTGAAGCAGCTACGTTCGAGGTGGTTTGTTCGCCGTCTCCCCATGGAATGCC